TGTTCTTCCTCTGGGGTCTGGCTCGTCCACAACATTGCAGACATGCTCTGGCTTGCCCATAACATGGCCACTGGCCTTCAGGAATCCCACAAAAAGTGTGCCACACAATTGGTACCCATAGGAAATGGCTAAGGCACAGCTGAAGCTTTCCTAGATTGTCTCATGTCTGGGTCTTGCCCAGTGTTTGTGCTTCAGTGAGAGCACGTGTTCCTGTAGTGACGATGGAAGAATGAATAAATAAATAAATAAACAAAAGGGCAAGTTATAGCTTCCAGTTAAATAAGACAACAGATTTCCAAAAATAAAGTAGAATTAGAATGATCCATCCACACTCTCCTGCCCCTTTGGTACCTGCCCAGAAACTAGAGAGACTTGGGAACATGCAGGTTTTCTTCATTAGGAGACAGCATATTTATTACCTATAAGACACATATAAGACAGCAGTGAAGCAACTGTTACAGGAACACTATAATGATGTCCGAACATATGTTACCAAGGTTGTGATTTTTTTTTTAATACGGAAGATGGCCATTGACTGTGTATTAAGAGGTAAAAAAAAGCCATTTATATGATTTTTTTACAGCTCATGCAATGAAATAGTGGCTGGTGAAAAGAGAAGGGAGGCTTGCTAAATCATCCTCCATTAGTTGTTCTCTTTAGTCATCCACTTACATGGCAAATCTCCCCAGTTATTACCTGTGAGTGAGTACTGGGTGCCAAGTAGAAGCAAACAGCTACAGATGGTGCACCAAGGACTTTTTAAATAAAATATGTATTGAAATGCTAAGCAGAGGGAGGAGTAGACTGAGCAATTAGTTTGCTTTTGCCTAAGTCATTAGCAGCATCTACCCACACTGCAATCAATTTTAGAATGTTTCTCCAGAAGTGATGCACACTTTGCTGCTATTGATCCACTGAAATATGTGGGCTGATGAGGTAGTTACCATTGTATTTTTAAATTATTTTAGGAAGTTTTTAAAAATCTAAAACATATTATTTAATTCTCTCAGGATACGGAATTCAAGCACCATGCTGTTGTTACTGCAGAGTCTGGACTTTGTGAAATATGACCACAGGAAATGCAATAAAACTTATATTACATGAAAAGGGTGCTCTTCAGAATCATCATTTTCTTTCTAAAACACCCCAGGACAGGAGTTGGAGAGGAGTATATTAAAAATCTATTGATTAAGTTTTTTATTTATTATGCCTGACGATTTAGGAATACTCATACTATGAATGGACATATTTATGTCATTAAATAATGTCCTGTAACACGTGTCTACAACAACTCAGCAATATAACAGCTAAACTTTGAACTACACTAACTTGGTATGTGACAGATGTGTCCCATTTCCTACTGCTGAACAAAAAGTGTCTCCTTCTACTCAAAAGGCAAATTTAGAAGGCCTAAGTGCTTTGTTAGTTCTATCAGAGAAACCATCATTATTTTATCCATCAAGTAAAATAAAATAAATAAATAAATAAATAAAATTTTAAAAAGTAGGCTTCCTAGCTTGTTTTCAGTAGGATGAGAATACTTTATTTAGAGGCAGGATAAAAATTTGAAAGAACATAAGGAAAATGTAGTAAGATGCAAAAAGACAGAGGATGCAAAACTAGTTTTATATTATCAATGGAAAAAAATAATTTTTTACCTATTTTTATAAGTCTCACCCATTACCCATTTCACATAGCACCATTATGTAAATTAAATTGGAAAATAATACCAGTTGTGAAAAATATTGGGGTATATTATTGAAAGAATTAGTTGACATTAAGAACTGGAATAGCAACAGAAGAGTGATATTCAGAAGTATAACTGAATATAGACTTTGTGAACTGCACACTAAGAATTTCTCCAGTAGCTAGAAATCGTAAGTTGAAAATATCCAAGATGTATTTCAGTATCAACTGATGCTGATGAGGCTGCAAAGGTATGTGCTCCTATTAAACTATATCCTATTAAATTTCCTTATACCTTAAACTTCTTCACACAGCTTTACTCAGAACAGCTATGATCATTTTGTGTACATTAAAAAAAGAAGAAAAAAAAATAGAAATACTAAATTAACAGACTAATTCCCCATCAAGTATTAAAACTAGAATTTAGAGCATTTTTCAAGTAGAATGATAGATTCATAGCCATTAGCAGAAATAAGAATACTTCTAAAAGTTATTTTCTACTCAGCTTTATATGTCAAAGCATATTTTTCACCTTTTTAATTGCTATCCAAAGCATCTTCCCCTGAGTTTGTGTATCAAGCAGTATATGGTAATCAAGCAATTAGCTGTGACCCCCACATTGCCAGTTTCACAAACTGAATCTGATTTAGTCATCTGAATCTGACAGAAAAGGCTCATTTGTGCCAGTTTAACAGTGGAGCCAGCAAAGGATGCCCGGAGCCTGGAGATGGAACAGGAGAGCTCCTGGAGGCCCACACAGTCAAGCTACAGCCCCTCCAGCTAGAAACACTGGGGCACATTGGGAACCCAACTCAAATGCCTCTATGTGAACACACGCAGCACGGGGAATAAACAACGGGAATTAGAAATGCATGTGCAGTTGCAGTGCCACAATCTTGTCACAATTGCTGAGACATGGTGGGACAGCTCTCATGACTGGAATGTGGCCATGGATGGCTTTGTGCTTTTTAGGAAGGACAGGCCATGAAGGTAAGGTGGTGGACTTGCTGTTTACGTGAGAGTGTAACTGGAATGTATGGAGATCTGCCTCTGGGGAGAGCACCCTCTGAAGAGGATGAAGCATGACTCGAAAGCGTTGTGGGCAAGGATTAAAGGGCAGGCAACCAGGGGCGACACTGTGGTGGGAGTTTACTACAGGCCTCCTGACCAGGGAGAGGAAGTGGATGAAGCCTTCTACAGGCACCCGCAAGAAGCCTCATGATCACAGGCCCTGGTCCTTATGGGGGACTTCAACCACCCTGATGTCTACTGGGATGATCACACAGGTAGGGACAGTGCAGGAGGTTCCTGCAGAATATTGCGGATAACTTCTTGATGCAGGTGGTAGATAAGGTAACAAGGTGCTGCTGGACCTTGTGTTAACAGGGGGAGACGGTCTGTTTGGAAATGAAACAGTCAAGGGCAGACTCATCTGTAGTGACCACAAGATGTTGGAATTCAGGATCCTGCAAGGAAGCTGGACAAGAAGTAGGATTGCAACCTTGAATTTCAAGAGGCCCTACTGGGATGCACCCATGATGTGGGTGCAGAGGGACTGAGTGGGCGTTATTGCTCAGCCACACTCTACTGTCATGGGGGTTGCTAGAGGACTGGAAGAAAGCCAACATCACTCCAGTCTTCAAAAAGAGTAAGAGGGAGGAGGCCCCAGGAACCTACAGGCCAGTCAGCCTCATCTCTATCCTTGGAAAGGTGATGGAGCAGCTCCTCCTAGAGACCATCTGTAGGCATGGCAAGGAAAAGAAGGCAATGAGGAGTAGTGAGCATGGATTCACCAAGGGGAAGTCGCAGTTAAGCAACGTGATAGCCTTCTGTGATGGGATGACTGACTGACTGGCTGAGGAGACAGCAGTGGATAGAGCCTGCTTTGACTTCAGCAAGGCTTTCACCCTCAGCTCCCATAGCATTGTCCATGGAGAAGCTGAGGAAGGGAAGGGGAGATGAGTGGGTAGTGGGATGGATCAAAAACAGGCTGAATGACAGAGCGCAAAGGGTTGTGATCTCTAGAGGTCCCTTCCAACCTTAACCACTATGCAATTTTGCACAGTTCCTTTTGCTGACAGTTATCTAGACAACAGGAACCTTTGAAGCAACAGCATTAAGGCTTTTTCTTGCAAGAATATGGCACTTCTATCATTTCTAAAGCAGTAGATTAAAATTGCCACTGCCAAGCAGTTGCTCCATTTCTCTTCAATTTTTTTGATCAAATAGAACATCACCCCTAAAAGTCTCTCTCAGGTGCAGCAATAGGCTAGTTTTAGTTAGAGAAAGTTTGGGTTTAATAAAGTTTTCCTAACTTGTTTTTTATTTGATTATGAAACATTCTGGGTTTCTTACACTTGCAATGTAGAAGACAACTAACAAGGTTAAGGCTCATATTTTCTAAGAACACTCTCAGATGTCACAAGAATAGTAATTTCATCATGTTGTGAATGTCTGTAAGCACTCAAGCTCTTGTATATACAGCAAGACTGTTCTCATAGGCCCATCTGACCTACTCTTTGATGTAGAAGTACTTAGATTTTCTTTAGTAGCAGATGTTATGCAATACAGAAAAGATTCTAATAGCCAAAGAATTTAGAGGAATGTAAGCAAAATATGTAGCTTATAGAATGCCTCTAGAACACTAGTATTTACAAGTACTTGCAACAGTCAACAAAACTCCACAAATGTCAAGGTTCAACAGTTACAGTACATGTTACAAAAAAAAAAAAAAACACAGACAGGTGGTCTATAGTCTAGAGTCTTAACGTGGATGCTTGTAAGCTCCACTAATAACTTTAACTCCACCATCTTTCTTCACTTTTTAAAGATGTATTCCTCCACCCACCAGCCCCTTAATATTTATTTACAATAACTGTTTTAAGACAGGGTAGATATTTCAACACCGATAACCAAAATAACCTTAGGCCATTATATTTCCTACAGCAGAGGAGGTCAAAACTCTATTAGTTTGTCTGAAGACTTAAAAAGGAGTTTAATTCATCTGCCTCTGTTTTGTGAAAGACAAAAGGAATGACAATACTACTAATACATTAAAACAGAATATTTTTTCTAGACTGGTTGTGATTCTGAATTAATATCTCTTAACTTTTTATTAGGGGAATAAATACATAAAACAAAAGCAATACATAGTCATATTA